TGGTTTTCCATAGACCTTTGCACTCATTTGGGGGAGGAATTAAAGTTAAGCACCTGCTGAAGTGCTTTGTTGAGCCAGGGGCTGCAGGGCTGCAGCAGAGGCGGCAGCTGCCAGATAAGCTGTGAGGGAGCTGCCTAGAAAGGTGTCCCTAAAAGAGTTTCAGCTGAACTTTGGGAGTTGGCATTAAAGGGAAGGAAAGAGCGATGCTTTCCAAAGGACTTAATTACAGGACAGAAACACCAGTTGACTCACAAGACATACACGGAAGAAAAACCTACTGGGACTGCAACAGAGCAAGGCAGTGAGATGAGGTGAGATGTTTTCCAGTCACCCACTGCCTTCATTCATCCAACACAGCCTGTGTTTGGCTTGGAGGGAGCCAACAGGCTCAGCAGGTGGGGAAAATTGTGGCCAGGAGGGGACCTGGGTGATCTCAAATATGAACCTCAACCATAATGGCAATGAACCGGAGGCTACAGGCTTGCAACGTGGGTAGCGGGAGCTCACAGCCTTGCGCTGCTGGGAAGGGCAGCATGGATGCGTGCTCAGGTGGCAGGCTGGACCCCTGAACAGGGGAGAGCTGAGCCTGGCCCAGATGTAATGACTTCCAGCTACACCTAACCAAGCACCGAAGAAAATGAGCTCAGGTGGTTTCCCTGAGAGGCATCTCTGAAGGGCTGACTCCTGTCCCAGGGGAGAAAATGCTCTTGGGGCAGATTGACAAGACGAGGCTGATTCTTGCTGCAACCAGAGCAATGATGGAGAGGTCCGAAATGGGGAGGGATATGGGTGAAAGGACAGACACCCACCCTGCTCATGTGTAATGGCATTGCTGGCAAATACCTCGTACGACTGGAGGCTGAGAGACAGAAAAATGGCACATTGATGCTGGTGCAGCCGATTCCCCATATGGAAAGGGCACGTACCCATATATCTCCTGGATGGTTGTGAGAGCTGCCTGGATGGCACAAGGAAGACAAAGCACCTGACCACAATGTTTACAAGTCTGTGAAATCCTTGTGAAAGCATCTTGGAACAACACAGTCCCTAAGTCCCTCAGAGGTGTATCTCAGAAGGCAATTCCTGGAAAGAGGAGTGTAAGGGCTGTTGCAAACACCAAAAAGCTCCACTTCTATAAAAAAGTGCATGCAAACTCCTGCGTAAATACCAAGCTGCATTAAACCCAGTGTGGCTCTCCCAGGCTGAGGACAAACACATTTTTGTTATTAATTGCTGTTGTTATATTATGAATGCTTGGAGTCCTGGATAATTGAAGTTCTTCTGCGATACTGTGGATCTCATTTTAAACTAACCACCCTCTCCCACCTCCAAAAAAAAAAAAAAAAAAAAAAAAAAAAAAGAAAAAAAGATTAAAAGATTAAAAGATTCCTTTCCTTTCTCTTTGGTATCCTGTTCAGTCTGCAGCCACAACAACGTTGACATTCTGCCCATTTCCAGCTGCCAGAATCTTTCTAAAGTAATTTTAATAATTTCTAAAAGTGGTGGTGTTGCCTTTCAGTTTCTGACCCATTCACTCAGTTCTACTACAAAACTTAAAACCAAGGAAGCACTAGAGAGAAACACTATTCTCTGTGTTAATGTACCTAAGGGAAAAAATGTAATTCCCAGAATTAAAGCTTGGAAACCAAACTACCAGTGCAACTTTTTCCATTGCATGTTTTCTCACAGCTGCGAATTTTGCTCTTTTCTTCTCCTAGGGCTTTTTCTCCCAGTTCATCCAAAGCAAGACCACTGTTTCAATGAAGGCAGTGAACACATTAAAAAGCCACAGTATTATCTTTAGAAAGGCTTGACTGACAGCCAAATTGTTTGATGCTGTAGAATTACTTCTAAGCAAAACGTCTCCTCCAAAAGAGTAGAGCCTGCTAAAAGGCAGAAATGAAACACCATCTTGAGGGCCAGTCCCAGTGGCCCATGTACCAGTTCAGTCTCACCAGTGGCTCATTTTAAGGTTGAGTAATGGAGAGACCTTGTACCCAGCCTGTCTACAAGGATGAATTTTACCAAAGCAAACGCAGACAGCCAGTCCCAGAACTCTACAATATACAGGTTTACAACCTCTGCATTTTAGTGGGGATGCTTATCTGCATGAATCTACTCTTTCAACCCAAAAATGTCATTAAGTATTATCTGGGCTTAGATTTTGCTGTGGTTGTTTTACATAACATGAGGAAAAAATTACACACATCTTGATGGGGCTGGAAAGGGACCAGTGAGCTAAGGTCTGCTAATGTATGAAGATATTCAGAGATCAATAACCAGCATCCGAAAATTAGTGTCTACAGAAATACAGGTATTCCATACTGGTAGCAGAGACTTTGGCCTGACAGCCAGCATGTGGCACTCCTAAGAGGATGGCTCAACCTTCATACACTGTGGTTATGCCAGCTGACTTTCTAAATACATGAAGAGATACCTAACTGCCTAGGTATTGCTGTGTGCCTCTCCCTTCCCCAAACTCTTCAGAACACAGCTGGTATTTAAACAAGCCCGTGAGAGTGTACCATTTTCTCTATGAAAGCACTAGTAGGAATACAGGTAATGAGTCTAATTTTTTTCAGTAAAAGGCCTGAGCTTTTACAGCATGAAGTCCAGGGTGAGCAGGAGGTCTATACAGCTACGGTGGGTAGAAAAGCAGAAACCTGTAGCCCACGCAGCTGCAGAGTTAATGCAAAGCAATGGGCAAGACTGTAGCGTTCCTGAACAGGGAGAACCAGGCAGGAGTCAATGCATTTCTAAGAACTTTGGCTAACCCTGCTGAAGAGCAGTTCTGTCTGGGAAGCCAACGATGCCAATATGCGACAGAGCACTGACGGTGAGAAAGCAAGAAAATAGTGACATCCCGATCCACAGTCAGCTGGCTCTAAGAGTATATACACATTCTGTCCTCGATCCACAGGGATTAGGACAAGCTTCATCTTTAGGCTTTCACCAATTATGAGCTATTCATTAGATATCCATGAGCCAAACCCCAGCCTTTTGTCTTCATCATGTTAGCGTATCTCCTATTGGAGTTCATGAGAGTTAAACATTGCTGTGTATCGAGGGTAAGTGGGAAATTACAAGTGGCGTTTGTCGGGAAGGTGCTCGGTTCTGTTACAATTCCCCAAAATGGTGCAATCGTACGTGCCCATGACAAGGGTCGCAATCTGAGAGGAGCCCCTGCAGCTAAGGGTCCCCTCCTTCTAACACCAGTTGAGTCTCAGAGGGAAGTACAGCTCCTTGAGGCTCCCCTTGAAAACCTGGCCAGGATTTCTGCATTAAACCCATGGTCTTTTTCATCCTGTTTGTCTATTTAGTTGTTACTGTAATTCATGCTGGTGAAATTATACCATAAAAAAGTGATGCTACTTTTTAAACACTGAAATGAATGTTCACCGTATTTACAGCTACTGAGTAAAATTAGGACAGCGGTAAAAGGTTAGACAATGACATTTAATGTTACTCCATTAATAGATTTTATCACTTTTTTTATCCTACCACAACAATGTGTATTTTCATATACATTATATTTAATAAAATGTATTGATATGGAATTAGGAAAGCATGGGTTTAGTACTATTTACATATTTTAATCAAAACAATTTTCTTAACAACATTGAAAAATAGAAACTTAAAGTTCTCTTAATTGTGTTTTCAGCCAGTTAGTGGTAAACAAACGCATGCCTAGGAAGTTACACTCCCTCTAAAATGTGGTCAGTTGAAAGTTTCTAACTAAAGTGTGTATCTCTGTTCTGTTTCAAAAAATACATAAGTATGTCTGTCATTTCTGATACAAAATTCTACACTATCTTCAATAAATAAATAATAAAGCGATTCTGAAAAGTATGAAATGTAAACTTTGTTGTCCCTCCAACATACTTTTTTTTTTTTTTCCCATTGCTTGAAACATTACAGTGGTCTTTTAGGAAATCATAATACACAGACACTTCCCAGCACAGTTTACACTTATTACCATACTGTATCTACCTATCCGTTATGAATATATCCTAATTTCCTAATGGAAATCAATAAGACTTGTAGTGCTAGAGAACACCGCCTATACAGGAAAGGTGGAAACCAGTACTGAAAGGACATGCAAGGAACACCAAAACCTAACAACAGGCTCCACAAGAACGTTCACATGCTAATGAAACAGGCTGACACCTCCCATTCGGAAATAAAGTCCTTACAAAAATACCAGTGTATGCATGACAGGTCATGAACAAAATGAATCCAAGCAGAACAAAGAGGAATTCAATTTGTAGGGGTCTATTCTCTCTCAAGTCCAGACTCAGCAAAGCACTTACGCGTGTGCTTAAGGGAAACAAGACGTAAGTGCACGCTTAAAGCTGGGTGCTTTGCCAAACAGGGAAAGTTTGGTGGACGTGGGCCTATACGTGTGTATTCATAGAGTTGAATGGAAATATAAGCCCTGGCATTCCCCTAGATGACAAGGCTTTTGCTTTGGGGTTACCCACTCTGCACCATCACAAGTACTCTGTTTCTCATCGCATCCAGTATTGCTGCCACCAAACCTGTGATCACCCCAGCTTGCCACAAGCACCTTCGTGAGCTACAGTACACTGCTGCCCTGAATTCAGTAACACGATGTCAAACACAGCTGGGCACGGTACAGTTTAATAACTGGTCACCACCGATTGCTTTGCAAGCTAGACTCTGTGGGGTAGAAATTAGCTTCCTGAGCTAGAGCCGTGATTTTTTTCTTCCCCGCTGCAGGTGACAGATCGTCCATCTGCAGTCACACATTCAAGCAGCAGTAGTAAAGTAGTATCGAAGTGGCACAGCACAACATTCAGCAGAGCTCTATGTTTAATCCTTTGCTTACTGTTGGAACATTTACAGTTCTATAGAAAACAGGAACTTCCAAAGGTACTGAGTGGGTGGACTCTTCTGGAGTGCAATTCATCTCTGTGCAGACGGCCTGTTCAGGGGCAACATGAGTCATGAAGTGGTATGTTAATAGAATCTTCTCTGTTTATAGATATAGACTATTTATTTTCTAAGTCTTTTCAGTACCACTGTGAAGATCTTCAAAGATCTTCTTACTGCGTAACTGCTCCTTCCATTCACATTACATTTACACACCACTTTGCTGAGCAATAGGCACAGAATTCCTCAAGGGGGAAAACCCTGCAGAAAGCCTCCAAAACATATGAACATTCCCTTCTTCATGTAAATTAAAGAGTAGGGTAACTGGAGCAAGCACAGCAACCTATGTGGTTTGCCAGCCTTTCAGACTGGAGCACAATGAACGACTAGGTTATTTCATAAACCCAGGAAACTAACATCAAGTTCCACATAGAGAAATCGAGGGAGATCTCCTCACTAAATTGGGATTCACTTTTCAGTGAGAATTATCAAGGCACAAAGATGCTCCTGTTTGCTTTGATAACCCTCTTACATGTGAAGGGCAAGCAGTAGTTTCATACCACACCAAGAAGGATTTTGTGAAAGCTTCTGCAGACACCTATCGCAGTGAACTCAGACGGAAATAAAACATTGGTCCCTTTCCTTCTAAGGCTCATCGAACAATTGCAGGTCTAGTCGGACGACTATCTCTCCGGTTGGGACTTCATGCAGAAGGAGACACTTTGTAACTGGTCCCTTTGAACCCTGATCCTTCTTAATGTCTGCCACACGGATCTCTGTTCTGCCCAAAAAGTCTGAAATGCAAAAAGACAGCAGGTTCAGAAATGACACAATTGTTTTACACTGCAAAAAAAAATTGTTGATTTGCTGAAGGAACTAAGCTTCCATCTACACACAACAAAAGGAGAAAACAAGTCTTCAGTCCAACTACATTTCTGCAGTTGAAGAAGGCCAAAGGCTGCCAGTCTGCATAGAAGAGGATTTTAGCTGGACCATATTAGACAGCAGCAGCATTAAAAATAAATGGTCCCATAAGCAGAAAAATACACTATGTAATTCACAGCTGCCTCACTTAACTAGCTCATTTATTTTATGATATGTTAGAAAAAAGGCCAAAGGCCGCTGCAAAGTTCAAACTGAGTGTGAAGCCCTCTGGAGATGACAGAGCCAAGGAGTGCACCACACTAGTGACAAGGTCAATGGGCCAACTGGTGCTGGCCAGATGAATGACAGTTCTATCCAAATACTTCCTGAGAGATTACAGCTCCAAAATACACTCTTCAATGCTCCCTATGTCTATCTCAGGTTATTAAATAAGAATGGTTTATGAGTCTTGAGTTCATTTTTGCCACTGTTATTGCATATTACAGGAATGTGAAGACATTTCTCTTCCTCCTGCATTAACCTATCCATTTGCGAACAGCATCCAGAATTCTTCAAGGCTTAGCAGAATTGCAAACCATACTTTAGTTGTTGTTGTGTTGGTAAAGAAAGGAAACCCAAAAGAAACCCAGAGACAGCCTGATTTTTTTTGTGCTGATACTAGCATGAGTCCAATGGGGAGCAAGGGTGAGTAGGCTCCCACTATGCAAAGGGGTTCAATACTGGGGTTGGAACTAGACGACCTCTAAAGGTGCCTTCCAACCCAAACCATTCTCTGCTTCTATGATTTACCTCAGCAGGCATGCACCTCTTCAAAATGGGAGATTTGAAAATACCCTTGGAAAGGCGTGAGCCCCCTACGTACCATCTGGGGAGAACTGGTCTCTCTCGAACACTGTAATGCAGAGCACGTCCTGCTCGAGGTCTTTGATAAAGAACTGGCAGTTGGAGTTCCACTTCGGGTTGAGGGTGTCCTGTATCGTCTTGGTAATGTGGCACTGAGAGCCCATCGTCACCTCACAGTACGGGTTACTCTTTCCTGGGAAGATGGAAACAAACAGAAAAGAGTAATTGTGGTTTTAGGTGTGTGATCTTCCTCCTACAGCCAACAGATGGGGGAAAGACTGTGGCCTCACTGCCACTATAACGAATAAAGACACAATTCTGCAAGGCACCGAGCACCTTCCACTCTTCGTTTCAGGACTTTGTGGCTGATGATCTCTTATGATATGGCTCCATGTGGTGGAAATTTAAGTTTGTCTGAAACAGATGCTTATGTGCAGGACAACTGCATGACTGCTAATGAACTGCACAAAACCACTTCCTTGTGTTTTAAGTTCATTAAAATGGCTTTATTGAACAAAATCATGTTTTAGACAGAACCTCCTTCAAATTTAGTCTGACGAATAGGAATGTCTTCTTCACAGAGCATACTATGAAAAACCCAAGGCACTTACCATGAGACCGGCAAGGTTTTAGTTCAATGCCTTCAACAATATTCACCATCAACCTCCCAATGCCTGTTGCTCTTTGTGAGCGAACTGTGGTGAAAAAGAAGAGGAGAAAAGTTATTAACATATTTTCTTGCCGATGGACTTTTCCACAAAAATGAGACCCCTGCATCCCATGCTGTACCTAAGTAGGCCTTTTCCCTCTTCTTCTTTTCAGTCTCTATGTAAAGTTCTGAAGCAGCTTTGATCTTCTGAACCCAGGCAGTCCTTCAGAAGGAAAGGAAAAACAGGTTGCAAAATACCATTTCCATTTTTCCTCCCTGGAGCACAGCAGACAAAACTAAAGCTGTCCCTCCTTCCCATTCACTTGCAGTCTGAGAATCTGGCCCACCACAGGCTCTGCTATGCTGAAGCTCTCTGCCTGGAATAGATCTTACTGGAAATCTTAGCACCTGTAGAATCATTTAACTGTCCCAAGCTAGCAGATCCCACCACACAAAGAAAACTCAAAAGAATCACGAGCAGGAGGGACTTGGTGAGAAACCAAAAGGTACAGATAGCAGGTTTGCTTTCACCAAGCCTTTTCCTTTATTGTAAGAAACTAAAGTCTTGTAGCCAGTAGATACAAGACAGCTATGTTGCAGAGGTGGCCACTTTTCCTGATTCCTGAGGTTTCGTACCAAAATCCTTCTGCACCTTGGGACACCTGAAGCATAACTCAGGAAGTACACAGGTGATGAATGACCATGGTTCCCTATGGGCCTTCAGGAAAATAAGTTTCATACTTAAGAGACTGAGTGGAAAAGATTGACAGAGAAAAAGCATGGAAGAAGGGGTATCAAGGGACCTCAAGGGTTTAGAAGAATTGCTGTGGCATATAAGGGAACCTGAGACCTGAGTCAAGGCAAAATGAGAGAATCTAGATATTGTGGATCCATTTCTGATCCCAAAATGACGAGCTGCTGCCCTATAGAGGACTGCAGCTACTTACACTGGCCTGGGCCTGAGCACTCACCTGTGTTCTGCACAGAGAGCTGTTCAAGAAAACAAAACACTTAAGGACAATTCTGTCTTCCAGCTTAGCCCCGAGTGGAAAATGGCAGCTTCAGAAGTATGTCAAGCCTTTGATCATAAAGGTCTTTCAAGATTAAATAGGGAAATTAATCACTCATTGATACTAATGCTATACTTCATTTGCTCTTAATTAAAAGCAAGTGAATGATGAAAACCTAGAGATATCTCACCTAAAATGCTGCATTTATTCTTGCATAAAAGAAAGTCAAAGGCTGTATCCCATGTAAGTAAAGGCATTTGACTAGAGCACCCAAATTCGGATAACAATTCCTGTGGGTTCCCTCTGCAGTGGAGAGAAGCAGGCAGCTCCAGAGGGCGTTCAGCATGTGAACCTCTGGCTGCTTGCGCAGCCAGTGTAGCGTGCCTAAGGATCTTGCTGAAGTTCCTTGAGCTAGGTAGGATGAACGTGGTGCAGAGTTTCTGACTACCACTGTGAGCGCTCTGACACAGAACAGATTATCATTGCTGCAGTCTGATTTGTGCAACAGACCCTAAATTGAAAATGCTGTGTCAGTTTTCATCACCAAGGGTCTAACCACAATGCTCATTCATTTGCTGTGGCATAGCAGGACAGACAGCATCCCAAAGGAAAAGTGAGATCCAGAAAAGTACAATCTTTGGCAAGAAAGCCTATGTGTACAAATAATAATGAATAACACTGTCAGGCAGGCAAGAAGCAAGGATGTTTTATACATTTTTATGCATCGGAGTTTTAGGGGCCATACATATGCAAGCTGGCATAATGCCGTGTCTACA